TAATTGTAGCTAAAAAATGAAATATAATTTTGTAATTTGTACTTTATGCTCGTAATATTATGATGTTATGTATTTATATATTCACCTGGTTGAAAAATCAACATTCCTGCTATTTCGATATTTCTTGAATAACATGTTGGCTCTATACCTGCTTCAGAACCAACAAGAGGACATAAAGTAAGTGCGATTTCCTGACAAATTCTATCAAAGTCGCCGAATTTTACCATTATAATTTTAATTTTTTCGATCGATATTATAATAGAGGAGAAAAGAAAAGCAAAAAAAGAATGAATTATTTAATCAACGGATTAGTTGAGAATGATTGTGTTTATGAATGAATGTGTAAATATTTTTTGGGATTTTAATGAAAGGGAAGAAAGAGAATGTTAAATTATTATATTTAATGTGAATGAATTTGGAAAAAAATCGAATTAAACAAAAATAGATATGTGGTGTAGTGTATTAAATAACATGCACTATTTATTTATAAAGAATTATGTATTATGTACGTTATATTTTGAATTTTAAAAACTGTGATCGAATCTCATTAAAAAAATAGATAATGTGAGATTGCGTCCGAGATAAATACGTGATTTTGACTTTTCAGTAATTTTAGGATCGGGAAAACTCTATTGAATGTGACCGCTAACACTATGGTTAGAAAATGCTTTTTTTTAAAAAAAGGCGAGACCGATCCGCACCGATAAAAAATGAAAAAAGCCATCAGTTACACAAATATTTTCGGGATCTGCAAAAGCAATGTATTTCTTCGAAGAATTTTCCAAGAAGGCCAATCATTATTGTTATACACACATAGGAGTGTTATTAACTCAAAATTGACTTTTGGGCAACATCACCCGTTTCTATTTATCAGGCTAAATATTAGAGGTTATATGCAAAACTATTAATAAATTTTATAACTTTAAGCTAATATCACCTTAAATTTCACCCACTTATGAATATGACCTTATAAAGGGATTAATTCAATTAGATATAAAATTTATTATTTTAAATAAAAGTCCAATGAAATGAATAATGTTGGATTGATTACCATTATGAAATGAAATTAGAAACTAATGCTAATAATAATTTTTAAACTCGTCATTATATGTAAATAAAAGAACACATTTAAAAAGACCTCAAAAAATAAAAAGGCTTACCATTAGTTCTCTTCTTTCTTTCAAAAAACATTTAACACCTCATATCCATGTATAATCCAATTTGTCTTCAATATTGCTTGCTTAAATTTTGTTCCTCGTCATTTTCTGCCATCATGAAGTTCTGATGACTCAAGGATCCATTTGCATTGTCAATACCCTGTTATTGAGAATTTAATCATAGATGTTAGTGGAAGTCATCTCTCTTAATAAATGATTACTGAAACTAAAATGGCAAATTAGTAGCTGAAATTACATACAAACACTGTAATCTAAAATAAATCAAATATGTAGCATGGTTTATGCTTATCCATATAAAGAATATTGAAAAGCCAAAATGATTGCAAAAATTGCCTTTTTTCCCAAAAACCATTCCACCAACAATCTAAATACACCAATTTTTTTCTTAAAAGTATTTTAATTAATAAATTATCTACTAGGTAAAATTTTGTATGTTCTCGGCTATTTTGATTTGCATTATCAAATGTGTTCAGAAAATTGGTTCACATACAGTAAAGTTTTCCTGGTCCATTTTAGTTCTACATTCCACAATCCAATTTCCTTTCCTTTCTAATTCAATTTCAAATATCACAATTACTTCAATTACTTCACTACACAATACAATTCCTTGCTAACATACTCTATAACAGTTCATTGTTATCCTCACTGTGTAAAAATTATATGGCTAGGAAAATAATTATTTTTATTTCTTAATAATTGATATATTTATTTACTCATTTGCCATGATTCAGCCCTGGATATTGGGGTATCTTAGACCTCACCAGAGAAAGTGATCAGATAAAACGTTACCGTGATATGGTTACAAAATTGAAAATCATATTTTATATATAAGAAATACAACTGGTTATTTGATATAAATTACATTTGATTTATATTTACATTTAATTAATCATCAAGTACAATCAGCACAATTAGATGTAAATAATTTAAATATGACATTAGAAGATCGATTTTTCATCATCATCTTCAAACACTCTTTCCTATTGTTGATTTGCTTCTTGTGGAGAGTATTTTGTGTATCCGAAATGAATTGGTTCGTGAATTGATAATTGATTTTCAACTAATTGAAGCTTTTGAGCTACATCTATTATACGATCTTCGATGAATGGTTTAATTACTTTTGATTTTGATATATAATTTTGCAATGTAGAATCAATGGCTTCGAGTTCAATTGTTTTAGTTGGGTAAGGAAGCAATCTGCAAAAAAAAACCAAAAGTAAATGATGTCAATATTAATAAGCAATCAGTACATAGATAGTTACAGGTTCTAAAAATAATAAAAATGGAAAAAAAATCCTTTATTGTTGAATTAATAGCATCGAGATAAATCAATCACTATTTTTTAAAGGCTTATTATATCAAATTCTTTATCTGATAGAGAAAAATTTAAATTGAATAAATTATTTA